TTTGGTAATTTTAGTTCCCCTTCTGGCATTAAGATCTAGAAGCAAATGGGGAAAACAGCTGAATTTAAGAGGCGATAGCTCTGTTTATCACCCCAGCCTTTGGTGCCCTTGGCTTGCTGACTCTTGTTCTGCTGCTTGTCCCTGAAGAGTTTAGAATCCAAGCAGGGCTGCACCACATTTCCCATGGCCGGGCTCTAAACGGCTTATTTTGTTGCAAAAGAATTTGGGTATAATGTCTGTTGCCAGACCAACTTAAATTCATATGAAAGTGGCTCATTACTGCAAATAGTAAGATTACCTATCAGGGGAATGTCATTCAGATTCATAATGGGAGTGTATATCAAGGCTAAAACATTTACCATGTTCTGTAACAAATGTTACACTTTAAAAGTTAAAATATGTTAATTCCTAAACATTCTAATTTCTCATACTTATTACTTTGTCCCACACTTATAGTGAGATGGAGTTTTTCATGACTTCTTCCTATCACATAATTTTAATGATATACCGTATCAGGTTTTTAGTCTAATTTACATGACGATGTCTCTGAAATTTATTTGGTGACTATGTATTTAGGGGCAATTGTGGTTACTTAATTATGGTGCGATATCATTTCATATTACATAATTATGATTTAAAGCATTACATAATCAAAAAGTATTTTTTAAGTCATTGTATCCTTAGCTTCCTCTCTCTTCTTGTGGTCAGCATATGATTCTCAAAATAATTCACATTTTAGCCTCCAAAAGGACAGAAAAACTCAAATCTGTACCCTAGGTTTATTCCAGTGTCAACACATGAGACACAACCTCTAAAGTTCTTGTCACAAAAAGAATAATACAGCCTGAAGAGAAAAGCCAGTGTCTAGCAGATTTCAAATTCTGCTCCCAATAAAAGAAAATTGTCAGTTTAATGTGAAGCTCCATAACAAAGAAAGTTTACATTAAAACCTGAGAAAAACGTCCTTAAAAAAGGGTGTGATATCTTCCAGCTCCAATATGTGACTCTGCTAAATATTAAGAGTACATAGCCCCCTATATTTTCAGCTGCATGATAAAAATACCTCCAAGAACAATTTCTGGAAATTCTGACCCAGTTTTAGGAAAACAGAATCAGCCTGAGGCAGTGAGCATCCTTGTCTAAGACATCACCCCCTTCACCCCGACTTTTATTGACCTTGCCTCAGGGTCCCTTCCCCTCACTCTGCTCTGTAACTGCCACCAGCTCTTCACATACAACTAACCAGTTCAGATTACTGATCCACGTTTGCTTTTCCGCACCAGTGATGAGGTGAAGTGTGCTTGCTTATTAAAAGGAAACTGTCTAGAGGCTTGTGGAGATATGCAGCGGCACTGAAATGAAATCAGATGCAGCTCTTTGGAAGGTGAAGCCAATGCTGCTTCTCCCTGCTCTTGGCAGAAGGCTCCTGCTGCTTAGGGTTCTTGCTGTGGAATTTACAGTTCTTAACTCTCAGAATTGTCATGGTTCCCACAGGCCAGGCCACTGTGTCCTAAGTATCCTCTTTCCAACATTTCCTCCCCAGCTCACAGCCCAGAAAGCCTAGAAATAGTTGATCTGTTTGCTTGTTTGCAGAACACCTAAAATTCATTTTGTATTTTAGAAGGCTTTCTTTTTGTCACATTAGAACCTCCCTGCCCTGTCTGATGGAACATTTCAGGGTATATTTCCCTTACTGATTACTTTATTACAAATAAAATATAGTGATTGAAGGTATAGTAATTAATGAAATGGTATATATTTATCTAACCATAGTAATTCACTTTCCCTTTGCTGGGCTAGCATACCTGACCACATGCACGTGAAGGAGGACAGGCTTATGGTTTCAGGAGATTTGGTTCGTGGTCAGGAGGCTTCAGGACAGAAACATCATGGTACAAGGACATGGTGGAGCAAGCTGCTCACTTCTTGGGAAACAGTGTCAGCAAGAGATAATCCTCAAAACCATGATCTCGGTCACCACCTCCCCCTGGGCCCCAGACTAACAGCACTTTCAGCTTGCAGCATGAGGGGATAATTCAATTTACCTCCAGTCATCAGTCCAGGAATCTCTAAAATCGAATCACATTGAGTGCTTAGGTTAACTGGCACAACAGCGGTGCATCAAATGATGCAGTAATAATAAAAATGATGGTAGTATTGCTTCCAGTATTGAATGCCTTACTTTTCAGAGATAAATGGAATTTTTATAAAACTTTATTCGAAATCAGTGGATAAAAATGTGCTAAATATTTTCATAGTGCCACTTCTCTTCAAGTCAAAATAGGTAATCATGCTTCAGTCGTTCCTGTAGGAGTTTATGGCCAGCACCTCCTCTGTGCCAGGCACTAGGATCAGCACTCTCTAATGGCCAAGCAAGAAACTGACCCAGGAGAGTCAGCCTAAAGCCACTGCACTGCAGTCAGGCCCAGTCTGTAGAAATCCAATGAGCTCCTTCTCAATCATTTCGTAATAATGCAATTTATCCTGAAATAAAACTATAAATCATTTTGAGTTAAAAAATAAAAATGTAAGTGTAGTCTAGGATATATTTTGCAAATTTATGCATATTGAAAGAGTACTGTCAGTACCTTACCCCACTTTTGCAATTGTGCAAGATATTATGGAATTTACATTTTCTAGGGCTGGGGATATTGCTCAGCAGCATAGCATCATCCTGGCAAGAGTTAGGTCATGAGTGCAAGTTCCAGTACAATAAAAAATGTGGAAAAAAAAGAAAGCATAGAATTTATAGGATCTTTTCTTTTTTTTTCTTTTCTTTTCTTTTCTTTTCTTTTGCACTGGGTATCAAACTCATGACTTCTCACTTGCCAGGCAGGCGCTTGTACCACTGAGCTAATTTATAGTTCCTTGATGATTACTTCATATTAAACAGCGAAGTTTTAATTGTCCCTCCGTGTTGTAATAAGTTTCTACTTTTATGCCATCCCATGCTTTTCTCTTGACTCTGAATACCTCAGTTGTCTTTGTTCATCTTTGAACTTCCAACTCCTAAAACAGTGCTTCCCACTTATCAATGCTAAATCACTGAATGAATTGCTCTCTTAGAAACTTGTTTGAACCCCCTGAGGAAGCCTTTTCAAGATCCAACTCAAGCTCTTTATCCCCTGGAAAGCCCTTCCTTGAGCAGATTAATTACCACTCACTGAAGTGCATTGCTAGAGCAGACCTCTGCAATCCTTTGAGTGCTTTTCAAAAATTTTTGCCCTAAATATGTTTTCACTATAATCCTGTCACTCTTTAATTTCTGTATTGCTTATTCCAATTTTAACCTCTTCTTCAAACGAATGCACTCATTAGAAGTATGACTTCATTTAACACAAGTGGAATAGATGACTGATTAATCATGGTTACTATATTTCACTCATTTATTAGACATTCACTGAATTCTTTCATAGTTTTATGTATTCCTCTGGGAACAACCAGCAAGTATGTTAAATGAACAAATATCTATGTTCTCGTGGGGCTTACTGCCTACTAGGAAGAACAGTGAATAAATAAGGATTATAAGATGATCAGTGTGTAGAGGAAATAAGTGTGTAAAAGAGAGTGACTATGGTCTGAAATCAAAACATATGTGCGACAGCTGATGGCTCTCTAGGGAGATGAGTTGACCTAAGACTTGAATGACAACCCCGTTATGGAAAGAGTATTCAGCGTGGTGTTGGGTAGAGATGAACTTAAAGCACTGAGAAACACAAGGTAAAGGTGTTTAAGGTTCTTGATTAGGAAAACTTACGTTTAGAACATATGGAGTTTGAGGTGCTGCTAACAGGAGACATACTGCTTGTATTTTAGAAGCATTAAAACACTGTAGCCATAGAGGATCTGAGGACCTGGGCACGAGTCACAGACATGTCAACTTTTAAAAGTGTTAGAAGAATCCAACAAGGAGAACGAAGGAATCTCAGAAAATCAGGAAGAAAAGTAAAAGAAAGTGGCGCCACTTGTGAGGAAGTCCTTCATCCTGGAATACTGCCAGGAGGCCCAATGCAGTGGCCACCGGATTCAGAGCACACAGTGTGAGGTTCACTGTGATCAGAGCAGTGGGGACGAGGTCGTGGGTGTGGATCAAAGCCTCTTAGGAGTGGGTTGAGCAAAAAAGATACAAGCCAAAGTAGAGACAGTAAAAGTTAATCACTTCCAGATGACTCATCAGGAAAGTAAAGTTAAAGAAGAGTGGAAGTTAAAAGAGGAATTTTTTTTTAAAAGAGAATTACTGGAACACTGCTTGGATGGTAATGGGAATAACCAATATAAAGGAATAAAGAAAGAAACTGATGGGGCCACAAATTCCCAGAGTTAACACAGGTTGACTTTCAAAGCAACAGTGACACAGATAGTGTTTGACAGACACAAAGAGTAATTATAAATATGAAGACAGCTTCCTAATATGGAAATAGTTCTGTGTTAAAAAGTTGAGAAAGTAAAGTAGGCCAGGTGGAGTCATATGACTTTTTGATTTGGGGACATGTTTGACCTGCAAAAAGACCGCTTTGTTACAGCCTACTCTAATGTATTATAATTATAACCTCAGCAATGTACATAGGTAAAATAGCTCAGTGAATGTACATTAAAAACATGATGAGCTTATGGGTCTTTTCATTTTTCTCTTTGTTCCTACTTGTTATGGGAAGTTTTTAGTATAGTTTCAAGACAAATGTAAGAGATATAATAAGTGCTTACTAAATTGAATGTTATTTATTTCAGCTGGGTCTTTAGCTTAACCCCTAAGGAATGCTGGTTAGCATAAGGACAGAATCAGATCCATGCAGTTATTCTACTTGTATCTGAACCTTCTTACTGTTCTCCAAAGGACTCCCGTGTCTTCATATAGCCCAGGTTTCCTTTGCTTAAAATCTTTGTTCCTTGGTGACTTAAATGTAGAAACTTTAAAATTAAAATGAATCTGCAGACTTAATAAGATCCATCACTAAGAACATGTTGGGTGTTTTAAGTGTGTGTATTTTCTTTTGTCACAGGCCTATTTATATTTATCTTCCACTGTGCGATGAAGGAGAACGTTCAGAAGCAGTGGAGGCGGCATCTCTGCTGTGGTAGATTTCGCTTGGCAGACAACTCAGGTAAAAGGGCGTCTGTTAACTGGCTTTTATATATAAAATTGGAAAGAGTCGTCATTTACCCTTCAGTTGTCAGAGGAGCCCAGTTCCAATGGTAGCAAGTTATCCAAGTGGAGCAGGGGAAGACGCTTAGGTGGAGTCAGAATATTAAGGTGGAAAAACTTTGACTCTGACCCGCCTATTCTACAGAGAAGCCTGGATTCCAGAGAGGTTAAACAAGTTGCCCAAGATTTGATGTCTAATTTGACAACTCAGATATTCAGAAGTTCCACTATATCAAATCCATCCTTCTGTATTTTTGAGATTCTCAATCATATTTTTAGAGAATATATATATATTCATTTATGAACTATATATTTGTATATAGTTCCATAAGCTGATTACTTCTCACCTTTAGCGTATAGAAATGAAATTTTAAATAGTAGGAAACTTCTGTATTTCCTCAATTTATTATTGTTCACATCTTAGTATCTTCTCTGAGCCCCTGCCAGCATATCAGAAAAAAATCATATGACCCAGATAGATTAAATAATGTATCTTCAAAGCAGATCTTTGATTCAAAATTCTTCAAAGCAGAGCGTATTCCACATACAGGAAACAGTGTGTGCTGCCATTTCTTTCAGATTGGAGCAAGACAGCTACCAATATAATCAAGAAAAGTTCTGATAATCTAGGAAAGTCTTTGTCTTCAAGTTCCATTGGTTCCAACTCTACCTATCTTACGTCCAAATCTAAATCCAGCTCCACCACCTATTTCAAAAGGAACAGCCACACCGGTGAGTCATCCAGCCATCATAAAGCTGTCCCCTGGTGCAGTCCTCATCTGTGCCACTTTTACTTTTTAAAAATAGGCTTGCTGTGAAGATTGACGATCAGAGTGCCTGACAAAGTGCTTATTTTCAGTTTGTGAGAATAAAACCTAAATATGGTATCCAGCAAGTTTGTGAATAGAATCTTTTAAAACTTTTATAGCCCTCTGATATCTACTTAATCAAGCCATTAATTCCAAATAGTATTGTAACTTCATCATTTGATTTGAAACTTAATTTTGTCTGAAAATTACAGTACCTTGTAAAAGAAAAAATTAACGTTTTATTTAAAATTATAGAAATTGAGTTGTAGTATAATTCATATAGTAAGAAAGTTACTTGAGAAGTTGGCATAGGATTGGAACAAACACCATCTAGGATGGATATTTTAAGATTTAATTCCTTAATTATTGAAGTGTTTTTAGCAAGTAGTCTGTAGCTTACTGATTAAATATTGAAAAGATAGAGAGCCCAGAGTTTGGAAAGTGATTGAGGAAGGGAAGAAATACTGTTCCTTTGCCCAGGTCATGTTTTTTCTTCATATTTACAATGACTATATTCACACACTGAATATTCATACAAACGAGCCTAGTGACAAGAAAGCAATAAAGGATGTTTTGTAGTATTTGATAGCCAGCGAATGGTACAAAAAGATGTAATGTTTTAATAATTTCAAAGAGAAACAATGGAATTGGTACTTTAAAATATGAAGTAAGCCCCTTGACACCCACACTGTTGACATTTAGCACACAGTTCATCCTAATTCAAGTTACTTCTAAGAGAATAATAGAATTCACTTTAAAATTTTTAATTTGGTTAGCTGTTAAACACATGTAGAGCTGTTAAACATAAAAATAAATGTGAATGGCACAGCAAGAGTAATGTTGGGCTTCTTGTATAAAGAAAGTAACTGATATTTCTGTAATTTTTATATGATAAACATTTGAATTACAGTGATCTTGATGTATATTTAAATTCTTACACATGTCCCTATTTACATCACCATCTTGTGCCTTGTCACTGGCATGACCACAGCCTGGCACATGGGATAGTACTGTGAGGAAAAGTTTGAGTATTTTGAAAATTTATTAATTCCAAAATTTATGAGAGATTTAAGTACCTGGAGAAACTTAGGACAGCAGTTCTTAAAGTTTCTTGGAGTTTCAGACATTATAGAGGGGAAACAAATAACAGAAATTCCTTCCCAAGTAAGTTGTATATGTAGTTTTGCCTAAAATTGAGAGGTCCAGGCATCCCTGCCTGAGAATACTGTACCTGTGTAAGGAAACTGATGGTACTTGTATAGTCCAAATAGATAATTCTATCTACCTGGTCATTCCATGGCACAAAATCTTGAACTTACAATGAGTATTTTTTCCACTTAGCCAAACTTAAATACTTATTTTGTCTCTTCAAATAGTGCATTGTCTTTCAGTTACAAATGTATAGCTGTTGGATCAATTAAATTATTTTCAGGGTAGCACAACCGAGAATAGCTAGCCCAAGGAAAGAAATGCCTCTTTTAAAAGAAGCTAGAAAATGGCAAGTTAGATCACTTGGAACATGGAATATTTTAGAAATACTGAAGAAAGAAAGAGCTGTAGGATTCTGGGAAAACCCAATGAGAAGTTAAAAGAGAAAATGCAGAAATGGAGGCACCAACATCAAAATTTATTATTTTAAAATGTCAGGCATTATTTTGTCATATTTTACAAGAATATAGTAATGTTATTTTTGTCACTTATCCTAAGCAAAGAACTCTTATGGCTAAGTGAGCTCTTCTCTACTAGCATGAGAATGTTCGGAACTTTATGGCATCATTTATATCATCAGTTAGGCTATCCAGCCAGTTCTTAATGGGGCAGCTGCATCCTGGGGATTGCTTGGAGTATGCGGAAAAAGTCACTGCATATCCTCATGGTCTCTAGTTGGTTTACTTCTTCAAATTGATCTAGACATTCATGTGTTTATGGTATAGATAATGTCTCCTAAGAGTATCCCTTCAACAAAAGTGGATCGTTCAGGTAATTTTTTAATCCTTTTTTTGAATGCATGAATTTTTGCAAGGTAATAAGGGAATATTTGCATGGATTAAGCTAAGACTCTTGCTGCACCAGCAGAATGGCTTGTGCTTTATGATACTTTTCAGCAAGCACATGTTATTCCTGCCCTGAGCTGGCACTTCTGAAGGTTTAAGTGACAGTCTGCTGGGCTGGCTCTTCTCTGCATGGGGTGTGCAAGCCGCTCCTTCTAGGAAATGTACCATGCTCTGGAGTGAGTGGGTCACATACCACAGAAAATAATGACAATAAAGCAGTGTTTGAGATGAGAACTTGTACAGAAGGATATGAGTTGCTTTTCCTTTTCACTGCTTTTACAGATTGCTAGATAAGTCATGGTACATTCATAGAAGCATGAAAGAGAAATTGTCAGTGCTGAGCTGCTTTGTGAGAATTTTTATTTGCTTGAAATTTCAGCCTGTCAAATAATAGAAATAATAGTTTATTTCTCTAGCCCCTGGTTTTCACATTTACAGTTATCTTCAAAATCTTTCTGTTTGATACTCTACCATCTAACCAGAAGACTAGAACTACCCCTCTTTCAGAATTTTACTTTATTAGACTGTAAAAACCCATCCAACTGGGTCACATCTTTGGAGCAGAGCTGGTCACAGTCTGTAAAAGTGTATGCCCCTGGACATTGTCCAGGAAGCAGAAGGAACATACCCTTGACGTTTCACAGAGGATGCGTGGTGTTCTAAAAACCTGAAGCACAGATTACTCATTATTGAGATTTAAATCAGTAACAACTCCCCAAAAGAAAACCAATGGCTAGCGAATGTGTGCACTGGAAGAAAGCACGAAATCAATCAGCTTGCTGAGGGCAGGTGGGACTCTGCCAGGCTGTTTCTGTCCAGCTCTGGGACATATTTCAATCGCTCTACCTTGCCTCTATCTGCCGATCCTTTCCATGACCCAGCTTTTCTCCCTTCCACCTTCTTTCAGAGTGGCATGAGAGAATCATTTCCCAGTGTAGCCATCCTTTTATTTTAGTGCCTGTCCAGGTGCAGCAATTTGAATAGTTTCCAAAGACAACAGATGTCCTAGGGATGACTTGGACTAGTGTTTTATAGATTTTATATGTTATGTCACATATGGATCCAGTTTACTTAAAAATTAGCAGGGTTGAAGTAAATATTTCAATTTTGGAAGTAAATTCCTGAAAGCAGTGTTTCAGAATAGAGCACCTTCTAAGTGCACAGAGAGATATGACTGCTGAAAACTTAATACAAGGAAGAAAACCAAACTTTCTCCTTCACCACTGTAAAAACTCGATTATTTGGTTAATTTGAGGTTGACTTATCTCCAGTACATATTAGCAGGGAGAGGGCAGATATTAATGATATTCATAAGAGTACATAAATATAACCACATGCATTTGTAAAGAATAGAGCTTCTATGAGTTTTGAACACAATTTGAGCCAATTTTTAAAAAGGTTTTGGGCTGCAATAAATAGTTTTTAAATATGTGATACTGAAAAGAGTAAAAGTTTGCTGAGTGGCCCTTTATTGCTATCAGTTGCTCTGATATTCTTACAATCAGCAATAATGTTTTGAAACTGGAGCAAATTAAGGAAAGTTTTCTTTGAAAAGTTTTCTGTCTAATAAAAGAATTTTTATTTCTACAATTAATAATTCATAAAAGATGCCCCTATGTTCCATTAATTTCAGCAGCTAAAAATTATGGTAAGATATTTTCAGTCTGGCCTTTATGTTTATGTTGATTCACTATTATTCTCCAGAATCCCTTAAATTAAATTTTATTTTAAAAATTTTATTGTACAGTCATATCAAACATATAAAATAAAGAATAGTACGATGAGTCTTAAACCAACTCATAGGCAGTTGTATACCTCATCCCATTTTTCTCTTCCTACATTATTTGGAAAACATCTTAGATATCCTTTTTTCATAAACATTTCAGCATATTTTAATTTATTTTTACCAAATGTGCTATTTGTTTTGAGCTACTTAGGACATATATTTTTGTATCAATTTTTAAAGACTATATTATTCATTGACTCTGAAAAATGTCATTTGGTAGACTACTCCCCCATAACAAAGCACACAAATTATTAGAAGGCAAATTGACTTCAATAAAATACGATGGATGCGTCTTGACGATGCAGTGCTTGAAATTTTAGTGCCACCTGTTTCTCTAAGAAAGAACCCAAACTTCATTTCTTCTGTGTACTTGGTGAAGGTGCATACTAAACACGGGGACTCTACGGTGGCCCAGAGGCATGTCACCTGCTCAGCTAGCAGCCTAATTTTTTGTATCATTTCTTGCAGACAGTGCTGCCATGGACAAGTCCTTGTCAAAACTGACTCATGCTGATGGAGACCAAACATCTATCATCCCTGTCCACCAGGTTATTGACAAAGTCAAGGGTTATTGCAATGCTCACTCCGATAACTTCTATAAAAATATTATCATGTCAGACACCTTCAGCCACAGCACCAAGTTTTAATGCTGTCAGTCCAAGAAAAATAAAACCAGTCACAGAAATGTGAAGATCTGCGAGCAGAGGGAACTACAAGGAACAAGTCTAAATGGGCTCTTACCTAGGCAACTGCGCAGAGATGAGGGATGTATTTTGTTAAGAAGACTTTCATGAAACTCAGAATTTGACTTTTCAGTGTGTGTCTTAGATGGCGGGCTCCTGTTGCCTCTGAGACTTCAGTACTGAGAACAGTATTTGAACCAAGCTAATCAGAACTCAGGAGCAGACATTAAAATTAGAGGTCAAAGGAGGAACAAAACTAAGAAAAAAATTACTCTAGGGTTCGTATACCTGATCCTTGTTTCTAATGTTTAGATGCCCATTTGCTGTGTTTTCTTTCCCAACAATAAGCAATATGGTAACATTTGTAACTATCCCGGCTGCTCACCAGTTCCATATCCGTGCTATCTTCTAAGAATGCAGCAGCAATTACTCTGTGTAAACATTATTCTGTGACATTTCAACCACAGATTAAAACAGACCATGTGATCAAAAATTTTTTAAAAATTTCTTTATTATATCAATATGCAAGGAAGTTTTCCCAAGTATTGACCTAGTTAATATGAAGCTATGTAAATTTCTACTATTTTATTTATTCATTCTGTCCAAGATAATTGCTTAAGCAACATCAATATTTATAGCTTAATCCCTTACATTTGAATCTGATTTAGTGATGACACCACATTAATGTGGACCTTGGCCCTTTTGTAATCATTCAAAAATGAATCTGTCACACCTCTGGTTTTCCTTCTGTACTGTATATTGAGCCTACAGGCTCAGGGAAACAAGTAGAATTTCTATTAAGTATACTGTGTACAACAGTCTTTCTTCTTTAGGAGACACATCTTTGGGACTTTGGTCCCCATCTTTGCTTTAATGACTTTGTGGCATTTCCAGTCACACAAATATAGTCCTCTTATTTCCCCCATTGAGAATCTTGGTCCAAAGAATATAATGTGGTACATGTGATATCTTGGTTAATAAAAATAACGCATAGATGTGTGGGTCCACAACTAATAGTTTCCAAAAAGAGTTGCACAGGGTCCTCTAGTTAATCATATGTAAGAGCCAAAAGAGCCCTGCTGAGACACAGTGTAGTATTTATACATCAGGCTGCTGTAAACAAGTCATGCATAAGATTAAGCAGGTCACCTAACTCTCAAGCTATCCTGAGCTTACTTATGAAAGTATAGGAAACCACATTTGAATTGTTCGTAAGTGATGTCATCCTACCCAGCTCCTTAGAAGTGAGACTCAGTGTATGCTGTGCCTTTACAATTGGGTTCCCAGGAGAGGATCAGGTTCACAGAAGCAGCCAGCTGCTTAAGTGATGAAGAGAGGAGAGACCCTAGCAGAGCTAGCGAGCTTGGAGGCAGAGGCCAGAACCAAGTCCTGAAAGCTTGTGTCCTGTGAAAAGCACAGGTGGTTCGCCATCTGAGATATAGAAGAGCATGAAGGCCTTGCAGCCACTCAGAGGACCTCTTGCCTTTTGGTGAGCTCCAGTAATGAACATAGCCAGGTTTGAAAGGGTGGTGAGATGATGTGGTGGTGGCTGTTAGGACTGTTCCATTTTGCAGCAAGGAGACGTGACTGTTGCCCCACCTTACTTTCCTGGGGAATGAGTATTTGGAAGAAAAAGATAGTAAAATCTTAAGATTACTAAGATTCACTACAGTAGAGCCAAATCCTTTCCTATAAACATATGTTAACAGGCTGCTTATTGTGCCAAAGTTTGCATATAGGTGAAAATTAATCTTAGCCATTAAATATTTATATACTTCCCAACCTTAGATATTCATAATAGATTTAAATAAGCTTTCTACTGTGAGATTTCTGCACGAAGTGCATATTGAGTTAAGAAGCATTGAGATTCAGCCTGAAAAATGATTTTGCTTTTGATTTTCACTCATATACCATCCAGATCTGGAAAAACATCTTTTAACTGATGACAGTGTCAGCTTTCCTTTAGATTTTCAAAAATCAGGTGAGAAAAAGTGAAGCAGCTGAATAGAACATTTGCAAATGGACTTAGAAGATCGGACCACATTCCACCAATGGTTCTAAGTGTGCAGCTCTCACCATCAGGTAGCCCCGCAAGGAAGCTGGGCAGGAGTTCACCCTAGGCCAAAATTCAGCTTGCAGCCACCTTCCAGTGTAGTTCACACTGTGTTGATTCTTCCTCCTTCTTAACCACACTGTGTTATTAAATAAGCTTTAGCCTAGGATCCTAGATCATTCCCATTTTTGTCATTATTTCTTGTATCGTGAAGAGGATGATCTTTGTTGTTAGCGTAGACTCTCTTGTACATATTTATTTATTTGTGTTTTTGAATGTCAACTTGTTTCATCTTAGCTTTAAATTGCCTAGCTTTGTTGTTTTAATTAACTTTTTATTAGAGAGACTGTATATATTTTTCTAAAAAAATTGTGAAATAGTTTTCTGTAGCAATATCCTTGAACATGGTGGGTGAAAGTGACTGTGAGGGCGAATTGGAATTGGTGGTGTCCACCTACTGCAGCTGATTTGCCATTTTACTTCAACGGAAAATGTTTTTCAAATAAATACTTATATTGTTCATGGTCCAAATTATCCAGTTCCTTTATGAGTGAATGTTTCTATTTCTGACTCTTAAATAGGAAAAGATTATTTGACAACTGGAAAATAACCTGCCACCAATTAAACTAGTGACATGGGGTGCTTTGCCAAAACATTAGAAACAACTGTGTAAGTGCAAGTCTGGTTCACTGGGACTAATGGACCTCGAAGTATTTAGAATTACTTCAGGGAACTGACAACAGTCAAGCTCTCTGACAGACTAAAAGTAATGCAGGCTTCTTTGGGGGACAGCGGGTCTGCAGCATCCCCAAAACAGAATAAGATCAGTAACACTGTGTAGAATTTAGGACTTAAGATATTTTCCTCACATTTACAGCTACTATTTCCATGGTGAGAAGCTTAGAAAGTGACAAATTTTACCCAATCTTGCGTTCGTAATCAGAAGAAAACCTCCCTCTCCACTTCCTTTTACTTTGGTTACTTCAGATAACTCCTTTCTGCAAAGAGCCAAGGCCTGCTCTGGCTGACTGCCCTGCTCAACAAAGGACATGCCCAGTGCTAAGCTGTGAGGCTCTTTGGCAGGTCACCACAAAATCAGGTCTTCGGAGCCAAAGTTCACAACTCTGGGCCAAACCATGCTAAGAAAACAGACGAGCAGCTGTTTCAGGCTCGTGTTGTTCCATACGAGCAGGTTATTTCAGAGAGCTTGGGGACAGCAGTGGGGAGTAGGTGAGAAACACTTGTTTGATTTTCAGGTTGACCCATGTTTTTAGTCTTTGAACTCTGAAGGAGTTAAACTTCATAGCTACAAGTGTTTTTTTGGAAGAGCTTCTGTATTTTCAGATGAACCACATTCCATTTCTCACATATATACAAAAAGCTCCTGTCACTGTACCAACGCCCTTCATTTCTTAATTCTTTGCTTTTTCTCTTCCCTTTTTCCTTCCCTCTTTCCCTCAATTCAGGGAAGAATGATTAGTGCTGTAGTTTTATTTTTCTGCTTCTTAGAGAAATGTGAATTTTTCAGATGTTACACATCTGTATAGTATATAGATGGGAAAAAAATGGGGAAAAATGACACATTTTGATACCATAGGTAGCTCCAACCTAAGGTGAGTAATTAGAACCTGAGAGAAAAGGAAAGACATACAATTCATAAACATGTTTGAATGCTAGATGCTTACTGCTATCTTGTGTAGGCTTTGCCATATTCTCTGAGAAAATATTGGTATTTGTCTTCCCCTTGGGACAATGCTAAGTAGCCTGTCTACCGGAAAGTGAGGTGGATTCAAAGCTGGGTCCATCTGACTGTATTTATTCTTCTGTGTTACTGCACCCAGCTACCTCTTTCAAAGAACCTACAGCCTCTGAAGAAAGGTGGACCAGTGACTACAGAATTTCGGAACTTCATACCAAAACTCTAGAGCAAATCCTGAGTGATGATTGGTCCTAGATTTTGATAGGCCCCTCCTGGGGGCAAGGAGAGCTATTTCAGGCACAAAGCCTGAAAAGTCCAGGAAAGTGATTAGAAAACACCTGAGGTTGGATTGATTGGAGAGTGTGGAAGTGGGACTGTAGAAGGATGATGAGGTTACGACCAGGCCTTCATGGGGAGAGATGTAACTGACTGAAGAGAGTTGACTTTGTGAGCAGCACAGGAGAGGCAGAGAGGCTTCTGGGTAAGGAAGGAGCCACGGCCTAGCTGGGCTTTAGGAAAGTGGCTATAGATGGATGATAAGGAAGAGACCTAGCCTCAGAGACAACAGTGAGGAGCCCTTTCCAGAAGTCCTCAGGATAAGGAAAGTGAGGGTGAGTGTCTGAGGATCTTGGGTCTCATGGAAGTGGTGACTCTAAGAACTTTAAAGTAGTAGTTTGGTAGGAAGTGGCCAACGTCTGAGCATCAGTGGTTGACCAGGTAGTTTGCTGTGGAAAGTGATTAGATGCTGTGGGATTAGAAAGATGCTGTGGGATTAGAAAGAGCTGGGAAAGCAAATCAGCCTTTCATCAAGAAATGTGGAAAGGGAGAAAAGAGAGTGGGAGGTGGTGGATTAAAGGATTATAAATGTAAGGAGAGGTAACTCGGAGAGCTTTTTCTGCCTGGTTCTTTTGTGAATAGATTAGAATATTTGAAAACAAAATGGAAACCACCAGGAAAGAGTGGGTGCTTCCTGTAACAGGTCCTGAAAGAGTGGGTGGAATAACACTGGGAGCTGTTGGCCTCACAGTCTGACAAGAGGCCTCCCTTTGTTTTGAGGGGAAAAACAGGCTCTGAAGGCTGTGAGGCAGGGAGGCACCGGGAGACAGATCCTGGGAATCGCTTACTGAGTTTCCTGAGTGTTATAAGTAAAACAGGGATGTGTTTCCATTGCCAGGTGTTACAAGGGAGTAGTATTAGGATGCGGATCTCAGAACAGAGAGCTGCAAACATTGCAGGGAATGCAAGTCCTTGACTAAATTAAAATAAATCAACTAAGAAAATTTGCTCCAAGAGTAGCTTTTACAAGAACAGCTCCCAAATCATCTCATCAAGAGTATTTTTAAGTTTGCTATGTTTTTATTTCAAGTCTCTAACTTAACATTTAGTATTCTAAACACAAACCTCATTAATCAAAAGATGCATTTTAAACATTTATAAATAAATGGATGATGAACAATTTCAGAAATATATCAAAATGTTTTACATCTTTTAAATTACACAATCTACTTGGCTTGGCTTCTTTTCAGTCCAGGTTAATTAAAATGATTTTTGTAACTCTAGATCTTAATTTGAATAAAATGTTTAATATGTCCTTAACTACATTTCAGTCTGATATTTGTGTTGTCTGGTTTGTGCTTCATGAGAAATTAAAAAACTAAAAGTTGTTTAGACTCTCTTGGAGCAAAAAAAAACATCTCAAGAATACTACAATATTTTCTACTTTGTGTCCTAAGGCTCAATCCACCAATATAGAAAGTATGGCTAAGCGTTCTGAATTACTTTTGGGGAATTGCCAAATAAAACCGAACTTTCCAATCAGAAGTACACAAGTCAGCATAGCTGATAGATATGACACGTTTGAAGTATTTAAACTCAAAGAACAACTATTTTATTAATAAAGATCTGAAATGTGATGAGCACTGCACAATTAGAGCAGGAATATTCTCCCATAACACTTAACAGAAATAGTTAAGAGCCTGCAATGTCTATAGCGGTTAAATTTACACTCTCTATTGTGTTCCTTTTAATTTTTCATTGTGTGTGTGACTTCTACAGAATGCTGGTGTTATGCTAAGCTCTGATGAAGTGAGTTGTGTTTGTAATCATTGTTTTCATAAAGAGTAGCATACTGCTTAGCCATATAACAGGTGTGTGGTAACATTTATTGAATTAAAATCTGTAATTTATCTGGTTCACTTGCATTTTACATTTTAGAAAACAGCTATCAAAGCTTCCTGGATTTACAAGGATATGAACCAGAAATACAATGTGAAGGATAAAAATTATGTCAGCATTATGCTGTTCCAACCCTTCGCCCCAGTTGTTAAATATCACTTTTTATAGAATAATACCAAATGGGATAAGAACAAAATGGTATTGGTTTGATATTACTGTAGGTCTCTTTCAGTAGTATCTTAAAAGGAGCTAGGCTCAACTCAAGTCTCAGATGAGTAAGTAGAAAACCATGCTTTTGAGCAATTGTCTTGGGAACTGTGTTATGGGCTCACTGGTTTCATCAGTAGTTGAATCAAATGCACGGGGATTCTTAGAGTCCAGCTAGTAAATGTGCAGGCAGACTTTGGGGGACCTGGCATCAGCAGATGATCATCAAGGGGCCAATATTCTTTGTTTTGTATAGTTTTTTTTTTTAAAGACTATTTTGGAGCACTTTTGGTTTCATAGAAAAAATCGAGAGCTTCACAGGCACCATGATTTTCCACTTCTCCACATCTGAGTACATGTATGGTTTCCTCCATTCTCAACATTCCTTAAAGCATAGCACATTTATTACAGTGTTACAGTGATGTTACAGTGTTACATCTCATTATGCCCCAAAGCCCAAAGTTTACCTCTTGGTCTTGTATATTCTGTGGTTTGGACACACACACATAATGCTTTGCATAAACTGTTACAGTACATCACACAGAGTATTTCCACAGCCATGACAATCTGTGTTCTGCTTATGTATTTTTTCTACAACCGCTTACAACCAATGATCTTTTTACTATCTCTAAGAAGGTCCATTCCCAGATAGTCATTCAACTGGCATTGTACGGAATGTAGCATATTCAAATTAGTTTCTTTCATTTAATTGTATGCATTTACATTTTCACTATTTTTTTGATAGCTCTGATCCTTTAAACGTGTTCCCCAGAGTTCATGCATTGGAAACTTAATTCCCGATGAAATGATGTTGGGAAATGGTACCTAAAAGCAAATAATTAGGGCATGGGGGCTCTGACATCAGGATGGGTTAATGGGTTAGTTATCGCACGGGTTCAGCATCTCTTGCTCTTCCCCCTTCTCACTTCTCCCATGGGATAATGCAGGATAAGGGTCCTCACCAGATGCCAGCACCTCGATAGAGGACATCCCAATCTCCACTGCTATGAGAAATGAATTTCTTTATTAATTAGTTTGTGATGTCGACACAAACACAAGAAGACAATACCTCATTCTCTGGTAGTGCTGAATAATACTCTATTGTTTAGTTATTCTGCCACCTGCTGAGGAACATGTTGGTTGTTTCCACATTTTGGTGAATTTGACTAAAGTTGCTGTAACAATCCGTGGGCACATTCCTGTGGATTTTAGATCCTTCTGGTAAATGCGTATTATGTCTCACATAGTAGTAGTATGTTTTTTTATGAACTTTCCGCATTACATTCCAAAGTGATGACCCTATGATTTTCATCTTTGCTCATTTCTCCATATCTACAACAAACTAACTGTCTAGGGCTCATACAGTCTGTTTTGTCCTAATTGCATTTTAAACAGTGTTTGCAGTTACCATTGTTTCAATAACTCTTAGTTTAAATTTGAGGAAGCTCTC